CACTACATATACATAACGCGACACGGGTCAGATGATGGGACACATGACCCTCTGTGAACAATAGAGCTAATCAAGCCTATTGTTAGGCGATGGTCCTCTTTTGCATGTGACTAACCTGTTTGTCCACCATGTGGAGGCAGTGCTTATAAGGCTGAGTTCACCTGAAGATCATCAGACTGAAAAAGTCTCTTGGAGGAGAGACGAAACATTTCACTAAAGAAGAACCATCCAGAGGACCTACTTATTTTTTCTTTTTGATTGATACTGAACGTTACTCGATATAACATTGGTCAGAGTAAAAGTGTAAAAAAGGAACAAGACATGAAAGTGCTGAAATGGCACCAGCTAACAAAAGTTGCGCTAACTTAAATGCTAATGTGCTACATCAGATGCATATAAGCACTTAACAAACTACAACTCTTAGAAAAAAAATTGGTGTACAGTTAGTTTAATACTTGACACATGAAAAAAGCAATCAACTTACAGGCTGTGTTTTGCCACAGGAGAGGGCTTGATGATCAACTCATAACAACAGCATTGCTAAATAGGAAGTCCTACCGCCGTGACTTCCTGTTTTTCAAAACAAAAGCCTGAATGAAGCTTTGCACGTCTGAAACCACCATAGTGAAATTAAAAGTAAGCAGATTTTTAGAAGAATGACTCCATTTATGGTCATTTAAGGTCTCATTCTTTGCCTAAAAACATTGTTTAGAGCCATACATACTTACCATCATAATACTCATAACTTCCTACTTTCTGCAGTCTTCTTCACACTACCCTTTTTGTGGCCAGAGAAGGTATTACAAAAACACACACTTGGAAAATTTTACACATGAATAAAAGGTTTTTCTCTCTTGCCTGTCAGATGTACAAAATCAGGGGCAGACTGGGGCAAAAAAGTGGCCCGGGAATTAAGTACCTGACTGGCCCATTCAAGGTCCAGGCTGGCAGATGATGTCTGCAAATGCTGGAGGCCAATGGTGGAGGCCAATGGTGGAGGCAGATGGTGGAGGCAGATGGTGGAGGCAGATGGTGGAGGCCGATGGTGGAGGCCGATGGTGGAGGCCGATGGTGGAGGCAGATGGTGGAGGCGGAAACAACAAACGTCATCTCAAGGCACTGTACAAAATGTAAGGATGTAATGTTGAGGAATTAGTAAAGTTATTAAGCTAGCAGAGCAGCAGTTAGCTTGTAGGCATTAACCCTAAGAGTTCCATATGGTCATTTTTGACTCATTTTGATTTTACCCCCCAAAAATAACATTATGATCTAATGTTAGCCTGGTAAAAATCAGACCCTTGTCCTTCACTTTTCTTCGTACGAGGGTCTGGACTCACTGCTATTGAAAAGCGATTCTTGCTGGAGGCGTGGCCTCTGCTGAAGTGTGTGTGTTGCTGTGAAGGAGGCTAAGCTAAGAAGCTAACCAGAAATTGCGTGCGTTGTAAACAACCCTACTGAGAGGAGAAAAGTACCGAGCCGAATGTGACGACTGTAAATGAGAGCTGCTGCTTTGTCAGACAAATTTTATTTAATTTAGAAGTCTTATCAACACAGACTGGCTTCATTCACTTCCTCCACTGCTGTATGCTAAAATAACTAGCAGACACTGCGCCGAACATCGACGTTTAAAATTCCTCCTTCTGTTTGCTGATTGGCCCAGGTAAAATAAACTACAAGCAGACACTGCACAGAAAATTGACGTTCTCTGATTGGTTCGGCTAAAAATCTGCCAGCGCCATCGTTGTCTATGGGAGAAGTCCCAGACGGAGCAGAGAAAGGAAACTAGAATTGAGCGGAACTGCTTAGGAAGGCCAGGGCCAGGCTAATCTAATGTGGTATCATTTTCATTTTCCAGCACATGAACTGTGTGAATTTAAACTATTTTTTCATTTGAATATACTGTTATTGTATATTAGACCTTAATTCAGTCGATCAATCAATCAATCAATCAATCAATCAATCA